CAGACCTTATCTGCCTTTTCTCTTTGTACTTTCTCTCTTGTAGATACTTCCATTTCTGTGGCTTTAAATATATTGATGTGTCCTAGGTTTATATAGTAGCACAGCTTCTCCTCCTAGCTACAATTCATATATCTAATTACCTACTGGGCATCTCTACTTATATGTCTAATGGACCCTTCTCAACATGGGCTATACAAGGTAAGCACTCATCCTACATACTCCTACCAGCCGCTCACAACCCTGTCACTCTCCAGTTTTCTCAATCTCAGTAAAATGCACTATTTACCCAATTATTGAGGCCCCAGACACGGAAGCTATCTTTAATACCTCTATTTTTCTCATGTACCTATGTGCAAACTTGTCAGCTCTACCTTTGAAATGGGTACTGAATGTGATCACTTCTCATCACCTCCACCTGTTTCACCTGAGTGGCGGCATCAAGACCTTTCTTTCCTTGACTTCTCCAATAGCCTCCTAACTGATCTCCTGGCTCCCACTCTCACCCCAAACAGTCCACTCTCCACCCAGAATCCTGAGTGATCTTTTCAAAACATAAGACCAGCCACTCACCTGTTAAAAGACCCCCCAATAGAACGGCTTCCCATCACAATTAGAATGATATGCAAACTCTACTTTGGTCTCACAAATGCACAGTACTCTGACCTTGTCTATCTCTTCATCCTCTTTTTGAACTTGTCTTCCCCCTCATTCTCTGTAGTTCAGCCACACTGGCCTCTCTGTTCAGCCTTGAACAGGTCAGGTTCTTTCCAAATCTGCACTGGCTGTTTGCTCTGCCCAGAAAGCTCTTCCTCCAGACTTCTTGCTCCTCACTTCAATCAGAACATCACCTCTTCAGAGAGGACTTTCCTGACCTCCCAGAGAACCCCCACATTGTCCTGCTACTCTCTAGCCTCTTATTCTGTTGACATTTTAAACAGTGCACAGTAATCCTGAATTCTTTTTAATATTAAATGGACTTTATCTTTATTTTTTAATTAATAGTTATTTTTAAATACTAACTTAAAATTAAGTTATATCTACTTGAATAAGAGGAATTGTAGCATCAATTAAATAACAGTAGCTAAACAAGAAAAGGAATCATCAAAATAACTTTAAAGAGAAAACAATATACATGTTCTGAGAGGTTGTGGATGTCCAGGACCCAGCTGCTGTGGAAACTGAGGCAAACCTCAGGTGACCCTGGATTCTTGAGCTCTTACCGTAATTCCCTCCTCCTTCCTGCGGGGCCTAATGACCCATGGGATCCCCTGACTCCTCTGGGTCTCTGTGGGCTGTGGGTGGAGCAACAGGAGCAACAGGGCCACTTGGGAAAGGCTGGACCTTGGACTCGACCTTGGCCAGCATTCGCCTGTTGCGATCATTTTCTTTCCTCACCTCCATGCGCTTTCTCTCCTTGGCTGTGTTCCAGCTTTCTTAAGCCCTTTCTCATGGAAGACGGTCTCCTTTGCCTTGGTAGGAAGTGCTTCTCTCCAGTTCCTTGCCCAGGTCTTCCGCCATCTTCCTGTAGGTTGCAAATCTGATATGCGGAGTGCACGTATCTACAGACACGTTGAGAAGTTTCTTCTCCATTTCTAAGCAGCTCGTTTCCTCCTCGGTTTTTTCTGAAGTTGTGTTAAGTGATCTTCATATGACTCGGGCAGAATTTGGAGCTTCAGCTTCTGCTGCTGAGTCTCACTTTTTAGGTTTGAATTTTCATGCTGCAAAGATGCTTCCTCAAATTGGAGATTAGTTATCTGTCCTGGGAGCTCTTCCTTCACTTGCTTTTCTTCCCACAATTGCCTGGCTATTTCATGATGTTCTTCTTCGGGACTTTGAGGACACATTGAAGATGGCATTATCAGGGACACCCTTCAGGTCAACTTGCAACCGAAGGACGGGGTGGTCACAGTTTTCTGCTTCCCTGTTTTGTTTGACCTGGCACTTCATGTGACTTAGGGGATCTCAGGTGAAGGGATGGTCTGTAGCAGTTTTTCAGCCTCTGATATTACTTGGCTGATTTTATCCTCCAGGACCTGCTCTGTTTCTGTGTTTGGCTCCAGCCTGTCTTTCTCCTGCTCCCTTTCCTGGACTCACTTACTCCACCTCATATTGGTGGAGCAGTTGTGTACTTTCTGAAAAATGAATGTTTTCATTAAATAATTTTTTATTTTCTTCCAAAGTTGCTCTCCATGGATTTCTGATGTTTTTGAGATGGGTTTCCATGTCAGCTGGGAAAGTTTAGGAGACTGGCTCCTCCATACATTTGCAGAGAGTCGACCTTGTCCTGAAGTGACAACCTGCTCAGGTCTGTGTTCAGTGCTAACAAGCACAAGGCCTGGCCTCCACCGCAGGCAGCCTGAGGGAGTCCTCGGCACATGTCACTGGTTCAATATTCTTACGACATCTCCCACAGACTTCACTGGGGCAGAACACCTTTAGCCTAGTGCCCTCACATTCCTAAAGTGTGCCATCTCCTTACTATCAAAGACACCCACACACAGCACAGACCAGGATCTCCCAGGGAAAGCATGGAGATCCCAAACATATCTCAAGCTCTCAGAAATCTCCAGCAGAGCATCGCACAGGTGCTCCAGGACCCGCTGGAAGGTGGATGTGGCTGGTCGGGCTCACAGCTCTGCCTCCAAGTGCCAGTGTCCTGTGGGCCACAATTGGCCACTCAGAACCCTCCAAGTGTTCTGTCACTAAGGTAAACAGATACCCAGCAACCCAGGAAGACCAGTTGGGCTGGGGGAGGGGAGGACAAGGGTTCTAGAAGACAGTTTCCCCTAGCTGCTCTGAAACAGAAAGTGACCTCATGTCTACAGGCACTGGGGCAGGTGGAGAGGCAGATTGCAGTCTGGAGTACAGAGTTCACATATACGCCTTTGACTCTCCCATAAAGTGTCCCTTACTACTAATACTTTGCATTAATAGGGAGCATTTGTTACAATTGATGAACCAATATTGTCACATCATTATCAACAAAAGCCCATAGTCTACATTCGAGTTCACCCTTTGTGTTTCATAGCTCTGTGAGCTTTGACAAATGAATAATGTCATGTATTTATATCACATTATCATACAGAATAGTGTCACAGCCCCCAGAGTCCCCAGTGCCCCATCGACTCATTCCCTCCCTCTTTCCTCTTAAACCTCTGGAAACCATTGATGGCTTTCCTTGTTCTGAAGTCTGATCTGTCTGATATTAATATATCTACTCTTGCTTGCTTTCTGTTTTTTTCATTTTTCAATTACAGTTAATATTCAATAATATTTTATATTAATTTCAGGTGTATAATCCTGAATTCTTAGCCTATATTTATTTGTTCATGTCTATCTCCCCCAAAAGAACGCAAGCATCTTACTGGCAAGGACTTTTCCTCCTTGTTCATTCTAAGCATCTAGAACAAGTGCTCAATAAATACTTGCTGAATGAATGGATGCAGGAATAAATGCGCAAACTTCAGGAGGGAGTAAGAAATGAGATGTAGAAAGGTAGGCAAGCTGGCAGAGGCTCAGGTAAAGAGTGTTATTTAAATAAATTCAAAGCTGTGAAGTACTTCCAGGAGCAGAGTAAGCAATAAAAATGGACAGACACAAAGGAAGGTGAGGCAGAGGACTCAGAAGGGCCTCTGTTGGAAGGAAATTTCTGCAATGATGAAATATTCTCTATTTCTGCTGTCCTAAAACAATAGCCACTGGCCACATGTGACTACTGAGCACTTAAAATGTGGCTGGTGGGACTGAGGAACTGAATATTAATTTTCTTTCATTTTAATTTGCATTAAATAGTCACATGTGGCCAGTGGGTATGGTATTAGACAGTGAAGTTCTAGAACCTGAAGAATCCCTTCCCCCCAGTGTAACTTCAGGATAACAATACATACTTCACATTGTGAATTGTTGAAAAGATTAATGCAATAAAAAGCCTTGTTAAATGTCTAAAACAAAGGTGGACCTCAAAAAAATTATAGCTGCTATTATTACAGCATTGCAAATTAAAGTACTTTTAAGTACATACCATTTAAATTTGGCTCTAAAGTGCTGGAAACAGGCTTTTAATAATTGTTATCATAATTTTTTGTTTGCTAGAGTTAGTGGATAACCAATGTGTAGGTCTGTCTATATTTGAGCTCATAAACTAAAAATAGCAAACAACCATTTTGGGATCTCAGGAAGGCCTTTTCAGTGATAAATGACTATTCCAAGTGGATCCACTTGCTGATCCTTCTAATGAGCTAATTAGTTTTAACAACAGCTAATTTAACATTTGCAAAATCTGGATTTGTAACATTACTGTATTATTTTCAAACTTTGTCTTCTGCAACTTCCCAAATGCTTTGGATAAGAGTAATGTTAGCTTTAATACTTACTATTAAAATAAAGGGAAAAGTATTTTATTACTGGAAACATTATGTTGAACTTAAATTGATTTAGACATGATTTTTTTCCTTGTCAGAGGCTCACCATATTTCTTCCATACTGAATCCAGAATATAAAATTAACACAGATATGTAGTATAAGCAGACCATTATAATGAACCCTTAGGAATAACCTAATCTAATAACAAAATTACACATTTGTTCAAGATAAGCATGGGCATATGTTTAGATGAAGAGAATGTGCAGTCCTTAGCAGCAGAGGTGGACATAGCATCCCACAGACCCTGCCTAAGTGCTGGTGGAGACTCAGTTTGAATGAGGGCTTTTAGGTACTGAGAAAAGTTGACATTCTTATTAAAGAGGCCAATTAATCTGCATCACTTGGAAACCACTTCACCTTACTTGAAACAGTGCCCTGGGACATAATATAAATGAGATTGGAGTGGAAAGGGAATGGAAATTCACTTTTCTAGGAGGAAGCCTTCCCAAACTGCCCTCCTGGCTTTGCTGTTTGAAATGCAGATCCTTTCTGGGCCAACCCCACCATGAAGCTGAGGTAGCAGAGCAGGAAGAGGGTGAAGACCCTAAATACTAAGATGAGATGCTGTGAAGACTTACCTATGGGCATCACTAAGAAAAAAGGCAGCCAGCAGAGGACGAAGCAGCCGACCACGATGCCCAGTGTTTTGGCGGCTTTCTTCTCCCGAGAAAACTTGAGGAGTCTCACAGAGAAGTGCGCTTTGTTCCTGGCGCTGGGCATCCCCCTGCCTCCTACCGGGGCATTTTTCCGATGGATGCGGAGCGTCACCTGCTCCGAGTCCGACTTGTCGGTCTTGAGTCCCGCCTTGAGGCCCCGGCTCTCCCGCCGGGCCACCACGTAGACCCGGCAGTACATGACCAGGATGATGGCGAGCGGCACGTAGAAGGAGCCCAGCGCCGAGAAGAGCACGTAGCCGGGCTCCTCGGTGATCTGGCAGATGGTCTCGTCCTCCGGGGCCGGCTGCCTCCAGCCGAACAGCGGCCCCACCGAGATGACGAGGGAGAGCGCCCAGACGCAGAGCAGAGCCAGGAGTCCCCTCTTCTGGGTGACGATGGTGGGGTAGCGCAGCGGGTAGCTCACGCCAATGTAGCGGTCAATGGAGATGATGCAGAGCCCCAGGATGGACGCGGTGCAGCACAGGACGTCCACCGCCGCCCAGATGCTGCAGAAGACTCTGCCGAAGGCCCAGTAGCCCAGGATCTCGAAGATAGCGGAGAAGGGCAGCACGGTGGACGTGAGCAGAAGGTCGGCCACCGCCAGGTTGACGATGTAGTAGTGCGTGACCGAGTGCAGGTGCCGGTGGCAGGCCACGGAGAGGATCACGAGTATGTTCCCCAGGACCCCGAAAATGATGAGGCTCCCTAAGATCACCCCGAGAAGAATGGCCTTGGAAATGTTCACCGGAGCCTGCGGGTGAGTGCAGTTGGAGCTGTCTGAGGCATTTCCAGAGAGAAACACCATGGTCCTAGCCGGCCGGGCGAGGTCCGGCTCTCCACGGCCACCCCCGGGCAGGGGCGGGGGCGGAGGCGGGATCGAGGGAGCAGGGAGTCAAAAGGTCTGAGCTTGGGGGAGCCTTGCCCGCTGGGGTTGGCCGGAGGTGACAGAGAGAGCGCCGATGGGAAGCAACCCCTGCCAGCCCTGGAAACTCTCGGAAGGCCACGCCAAGGGGCAGGGCATGAAAGGCGACATGGCGGGGCGAGCGGGGTGTCCGAGGACGCCCTCCACCCGCTGCTTTGGACCCAGACCCCCCCTCCCTACCTACAGGAGGCTTGGCGCCACGCTCGAGGAGACAAGTTGCAAAATGCCGCCCCGGGATTATGCGAGTCCTCTATTCCGCTCTGTCTGATGCGTCCTGATGAGAAGATTCAGCATTCTGCACATCAGTTGGGATTCTCAAATCCAGCGCCAGTCTCCCCCACAACCCACCAGCAAGCAGCGGTCTGCCGTCGACTCTTAAAGGTGGGGACCTTTGACATCTGGACCCTGCCGCCGGCCCGCAGTTACCCACCGAGTGGCTGGCCCGCTGTAGATCCAGCTTCTAGGCGCGCGGGCGGGGGACGTGGATGCGAACTGTTCACCAAGACCCAGGGTCGTCAGCCGGCGTCTTCCTGAAAGAGCGCGAAGAGAAAGGCGGGGTGTCAGCCAGGCGCACGGGGGTCGAGGTCACGAGGGATCGAGGTCGTGCGGGGCTCCACGAGGAGGACCCGGCGGGGAGCCCGGCTGACTCTGCGGTACCAGAGCGGCTGGCCCTGCGGCAACAGAGGGCCCGCGGGAGGGGCTCCGCGCAATGCCCCGGCCGCTGGGAGCCCGCCCTGGCTCGCTCCTCCGCGCGACCGCGGGGTTCAAATCCGAAGCAAATAAATCCCAAACTGCAGCTCCTGGCGGCCGGATGACGGCGAAATTAAAATCCCCGAAGCCCGCCAGGCGCCACTGCAGCTGGCGCGTGTGTCTCACCAAACTGAGCGAGTGGAACAGAGGATCTACCGGCTGCCATCGCTTTGCAGCCACCTGGAGGGGCGGGCGGGGAGAGGGGCCGCCGCGTCCTGGGGACCGCAGTGCCGCGCACGCTCGTGCCGGAGGAATTCACACTTGGGCGTGCGGAGCGCGTGGGTTTGTCCACCAGCCGAGTCGGCCTGAGAGTCAGGTCCCGAGCAAAGCCGGATGGGTCCCCAGGGCTGAAGGCGACCGAGGTCAGTCCAGGATTCCTTTCCAATCCACAGGGTCAGAGGTCCCGGAGGACTCGAGCCTCGAGCCACACCCAGGTGGGCTGCTGGGGTCCAGTGGGGAGGTTTGAAGGGACAGGGGGAGCTTCAGTCTGCCGAAGAGGCTTTGCAAGTGGCAGTCACTGCGAATGTTTAGGCGTGAAAATCCGGCCCGCACACCAGCGGACAGAGGATGTCCTGGATATTCTGGGCGGGTTGGGGGAGGGGCAGGGTCAGCGTAGGAAACCCAGGTTCCCACAGCTGCAAGCCGACCGCAGGAATCAGGCAGGAGTGAGAGGAGTGGGGACCCATCTTGGCTTCTAAGGATTCTGGGATTGGGCGCTGAGGCAGGACCCCAGACACAGGCTACTGTGAAATCACAAGTTCAAGAGCTCACAGGTGGCAATAAAAACAAGCAATAGCAGAAACCCTTTCCCCGCATACACACCTCGGGGTACTAAATACGAGGTTTAAAACACACTTATTAACTAAGAGGTAACTTCCCAGACTATAGAAGGAAAACAGGGTCGGGTGGGGATACAGGCCAGAGCAGGCGGAAAATGCCAAAGGCACTGGCAAAGTGGGGGATCCGCTCACGCGGGGGCCAGGCCATTTGCCTTCATCCACCCGGCCCAGCCGGACGCCCGCGCCCCGCTCCCTCCCTCACTCACCTGGAGCCCCCACGCGGAGCTGCCGGGATTCCTGTCCCAGGAGCAGCCCTGCCGCCTCCTCTCTAGGGGAGAGGGGACCCACTCTTCCAGGAGCCAATTCCCCGTCCTGTCGCACCCGCTGACTCACCCCTCCACCGCTAGTGTCTTCAAGCGCCTGACTCGCTATCCTTTACTTGGGGACTTTACAATAAAGAGTGAAAATAGCAAAGAAAAGAAAATACAGCTGCTCAATAACTGCACCTTCACCCTTTTAATATTCAGCTCCCAGAAATCAGCCAAGAGCTGGTAAGGAACTTTGCAGGTCTCGCTGACGTAACAAGGCAGTAGCCCAGCTAGGAGCGATCTCCTGCGGTTACTGGTGCTCCGCAGCCCAGGCACATGCGCAAAGCCGTGTTTTTTAAATCTTGCCTTGAGTGGCTTGGGTGATGAGGACACAATGCAATCTACAGATGATGTATTATAATATTGTACACTTGAAACATATGATTTGATGAACACTTGGATTAAGTTCTGTTAAAATCAGGAAGAAGCATGTAGTTCTGCCAAATATGCAAATAAATTATATTATCTGAAGATGTTTTAAGATGCAAGTAAAATCAGATAAAATTAAATAAATCTGTAACAAAATTCTAATTCCAGGAAGATAAAGTGAGCATATCTATAGATTTTAAAAAACAGTATAGCCTGGCGGTGTGGCTCAGCGATTGAGCATGGAACCATGGACCAGGAAGTCAAGGTTGGATTCCCAGTCAGGTCACACGCCCCGGGGTTGTGGGCTCTCACCCCAGTAGGCAGCGTGCAGGAGGCAGCCTATCAATGATACTCTCATCATTGATGTTTCTATCTCTCTCTCCCTCGCCCTTCCTCTCTGAAATCAATAAAAACATATTTAAAAATAAAAAGCAGTATAGTTTCACTGTAGTTTCTTACATAGTTTAGTGTTTTTGAAGTGCCACATAATTTTTTTCCAGTTTTCATAAGAAAATATATCCTTTAAAGGAGAATTACTTCCCTTTAATTCTCTTTGATTTATTAATAGCTGGAGCATGAAAAGCTGACATCACCAGACTGTTTACTTTTTTTCTGGTAAATTCTATGTTCTGCTTACCTTACAACTGAATAAAGCTATATATGTTTTGGAACATTGGAAAAATGCTAACGTTTTCTGCATTCTGATTCCCATCTCTTTCATTGTCATCTTTCATTTTCATCTATTCAGATAAGACACACTGTTTTCAAAATATTTACTAGGTTCCCTTAAACCTATAACAAATAGATAACTTGAATTCCTTCCCTTGAACAGAAGTTTATTAATATTATTACCTTTTCCAAGGGAGATATTTGGAAGTCTCCCTCTCTTTTAGCAATATACCTCAAAATGTCCTGGAGGAATGCCCATGGGAGGATCAGGGGGCTCTGCTTCATTGAATACCTAATATTTAGATTTAATATTATTTTATTTGACTGTAATATTATTTTTAAACATATACCCAAATGGCTAGGTCGTCCATAAACTGAACTTTGTATTGTGCAGGAAGTACACTGGGTGAGGAGACAGTAAACCTGGGTTCACTCTAATTACCACATCACTTGCTGTCTTTCTCTGATTCAGTCCCCTCTGTTGGAGAAGGCTGGACTACAATGCTGTGTGACTCTTACATTTTTTCATCAAATGTGCATATAATGTCTATTGTTCAGAAACCTCATACATCAGAGGGATATATTATTGTTCAGTTGCATATTCATTAGCCTTACACCATGAATTCGCATGCTCTATTAATATCTGTTCCATGGCACACAAGGGAAATAGTGTTATCGACAAGAAAAGCGACTGAAAATTGCTCAGCTCTGCAAGGTCAGTATGTACAAAAGTCTTTGGAACTCCCAGTCCCCATCCCTAATGAACAAGCATACTCACAAATCCTCTCCTTCCACGGCAACTAACTAGCTAGTGCCAAGACTGAAAAGAGTGGCTCCTTAATTCTAGCCTATACTAGTATGCTACCAGGCAGGTCTTTTAAATTAGTTCTCAGCCTATAAACATCAATCTTTGAGAAATTAACTCTTAGAACCATTTTTTTCCCTCAATAATCATAGACCCACAAACAGGAAACTATCCATTTATTGGGGATTCTTTAGAGAATAGTTGAGAAAAAAAAAAAAAGCAAACAAAAACCACATTTAAAATAAAGTAAGGAGGCCAGAAGGGGGAGCTCTCATGCCCTACCATCATTGCCAAGCACAACAGGGAGAACTCTATTTTTTATTTATTTTTTGTTAAACCTCAACTGAGGGTATTTTTTCCATTGATTTTTAAAGAGAGTGGAAGAGAGGGGAGAACAGAGAGAGAAACATCGATGTGAGAGGGACACAAGGATTGGTTGCCTCCCACACGTGCCCCAACCAGGGCCAGGGATCAAGCTTGCAACCAAAGTACATGTTTTTTTTTTTTTTTTTAAATATATTTTATTGATTTTTTTACAGAGAGGAAGGGAGAGGGATAGAGAGTTAGAAACATCGATAAGAGAGAAGCATCAATCAGCTGCCTCCTGCACACCCCCTACTGGGGATGTGCCTGCAACCAAGGTACATGCCCTTGACTGGAATCGAACCTGGGACCCTTCAGTCCGCAGGCCGACCCTCTATCCACTGAGCCAAACCAGCTAGGGCCAAAGTACATGTTCTTGATGGTGTTACAGAAGACCAGAGAAGAACCAAGCAACGCTTAGAGAGATGGAGTTACATTTATTATTATTGGTGCGGGCCCAGAGAAAAATGTCTCTAGAATTCTGGGCGAAGTCACGCAGGAAGTTTCCTGTATTTATACCTTTTTACCCTCTTTGTCTCCCAAATATGGGGTTTTCTGGTCCCCTTTGCAAGTTCTTAAAGAGCCCCTATGTGCTGGGGCTTTGAGACCTCAACCAAAGGCTTGGCCTGGTGCCAGCACTGATAACTTCGTCTGGGGAAGGTTTAATGGCCCCTGAAATGGGAGTAATCTTATTTTCCTTATTATTTAAGCAAGCAAACATTCACAGAAGCCCAAATAGCAGGGTTAAAATTTCAAACAGCAGTTTTTATATAAGATAGATGCTTCAATGGGAATAGAACCCTGGACCTTCAGTCCACAGGCTTACACTCTATCCACTGAGCCAAACTGGCTAGGGTAGGGAGAACCCTTTGTAATAGCCCTCCCAACTTCTTCCTCTCCCCATAAAAGTTTCTTCTCTTTTGTTTTAGTGGATTTTCACATGGCCTGCCATGGTTGCATGTTCTGGACTGCAATTCGTTGTTGTTCCAGAATTAACACATTTGCTGGAGAAATATCTGGCTGACTTTTTGTTTGTCAACAGTTGACATGGATGTTCCAGAAAATGTTGAGTTAGACCCAGGGGGAGGTGGAGTAAAGAAAGAGTGGACTGTGGAATCATAAAGATGCTCACCCTGACATCCTGTAAGACCAGGGCAAAACTCAGCTTCTCTGAACCTTGGCTTCATAATTTTTAAAGGGAGACAATAAAAACCCCCAGGATGGTTATTAGGACTGAGTGAGATTATATCATGTGAAGCTTATTAGAACTCTTGTTATAAATATTAGCCCTTTCCCTTTCTGCTCATTTTGTGTGCTACTTTAAACACACTTCTAATCCAGAGTGGTTCAGATTCCACACCTGACATAAGCACAATGTATTCAGTTGGAGACATGTGCAAAATGACCTGAGAATTACGTTTGGAGTGGGTGAGCTGGCCCTGGCCACTGCCTACTCCTCCTTTTCTCCCTACTCCCCCTTGTCCCACATCTTGAAGGGCCATGCCTATATGTGTGAACACTGCAGTCTGATCATCCTGGCAGCTGCCTTTTGGCCGTTGGCCTGCAGGTGCACATACTATGATGTGGTCTGCCCTAAGAAGGGAGGGGAGAGACAGAGGGAGAGAGAAACATTGATGAGCCCAGGAAAAAAGTCTAAAGGTCTTAAAAGGTGTGTTTTGTTTTGTTCTTTCAGTTCTTTAACAAATTTTATTTCTTTTGAGAAAGGAACGGATTTTGAGGAGGAAAAACAAGGGGCAGAGAGATATGGAATAGAAAATAAATACAAATGTAAGCTGTTTTGCTAATTGTTTGACAATCTCAACAAATGAGTACAGAGAATGCCTTGTAGAAAATAACACAATAAAGGTTCAAGATCAAGGTGTTCCTTTAGGCAAGGCTGAAGATTTCAGTCTCCGGTGTTTGGAATTTAGGCTGCAATACTTATCTTTGGATGGGTCACTGGGTTTGTGGCATAGTCCATGCCTTTAACCAGATTTGAACAGAAGAATGGCCTCTTGGTCCAGGTAGCAGTAGATGGAGGGTTTGGTTTCATGTGTCACATAACTACTGAAATTTCTCCCCACGATGCAGTGCCAGGTGAGATTGTACTTCTTGTCAAACTCCTTAATACGGGCCACTTTTGATATTTATGTTATATTTCTCCAACTCCTGAGTAGCACATTCCATGGAGTTCTGTTGCATATCTGCAGATCGGCTTTTTTGTTGTTAATCCTCACCCGAGGATATTTTTTTCCAATGATTTCTTTTTTTTTAGAGAAAGTGGAAGGAAGGGGAGAGACACAGAGAGAGAAACATTGATGTGAGAGAGGCACATTGATTGGTTGCCTCCGCCTGTGCCCAGACCTGGGCTGGGATGGAGCCTGCAACCAAGGTATGTGCCTCGACTGGAATTGAACCTGGGACCCTTCAGTCCAAGAGGCAATGCTCTATGCACTGAGCCAAATGGGCTAGGGCTGTGTTGGCATTTTTTTTTATCACCACCTTTCCATCGTACATAGTTACAGTGGAGAGGGGCTGGCCAACTGCTACAGCCTCCTGGGGGAGGTGCTGGGGAGGCCCAGACCCAGTGGGAGAAACCATTTCTACAGAAGCCCTGGCACATCTCACCCTGAAAGCACTTGTGCGGCCATTTAGGGTAGACAATTCTGGGTCCCAGAGCATGACCTAGAAGAGGGAGAGTGGACTCCAGGCAGGGATAACACCTTAATTTTTTTGGTCCTGTGGACTCTGCCCATTGGAAAGAGCCATGGTCAGAGGGAGTCATATCTGGGCTCTCTAAAGGCCAAAACCCAAGACAGGGGTCCTCTTGCCTGGACCTAAGGGCACTACTCTAGACTTGCGGTATAGTGGAAGGTGAGAAATCCACTGCAGGGGACCTCTGTGAAGGCTCAGGGGATGATATTGTTTGATTTAGGACTTACAGGATAAACAGAATTCAGATTGAAAGACAAAAGTGAAGAAGGCAAATCAGCAACAGCTGTACAATAGAGTGTGCTTGCGTGCATGCGTGTGTGTACCATTTTAATTGGAGAAGGAAGGCTTGTAATAATCATACACTCAATGCCTTCGATTGGCAAGACTGTGGTTAGTGAGAAAGTCAGCAAGTGTAGGAGGCTTTGAGGAAAAATTACTCAGAATCAGTTAATTATTATCTTAGAAGACAATACACAATGGAATTAGGAGCTGATTTCTGGGACTTATAATGACAGAGTAGGGGGCTTAGGCTTTTCAACAAATTCTCATAGGGCTTAAAAAGTTAAAGAGGGAGAAAAATGAAAACATGGCTCAGGACGATATTGATGCAGTCTCATCACAATTCTCCAAACAACCATTGTGTTCTAATTCTTTATCAGAAAACTGCTCAGTGCACAGACACTGCTGAAGGAAGCCTTG